GCGCCCCGGGGTTTCCGCCAGCGTAGGCTCAGCTCCGAGGGGTGCAGTCGACTGCGAAACATCAGGGACACGCGCACGCCAGGTCCCCCTCCCACAGCAGAGGTAAGAGAAAAATCCAGAAAACCCTCTGATGCCTCCAACAGCTACCGACGCACGTCAGGGAGAACTCGTCCTCATTACGTGAGCCGGCAGCCACCCTCTTCTGCCAAAGCCCAGTAACAAGGCATGGAAGGAACAGCTTGCTTTTCTGACCCAGTTGAATGCCCATCTGAATCAATTAAATCTACAACTACCAGGGAAAGACCAGCCCGTGATGGATTTGTGTTCAGCTGCGCACAGATTGCAACCACGAGCTCCGATTTAACTCTTTCAGCAAACGCTGAACAGGAGGAACGGCTCTTCTGAGGGAGAGGCTATTCGTCTCTGGGAAAGCCGCACGCTCCCGGAATTAAAGTTTCCTCCACGCCGCGTATTCAACTGGAGCTGCTCTTTGAAAACAAATTCGCTTCCCAAGCGTGGACGGCTCTCTGGGGCTCCACGCCTCGCCCGCTCCCACCGAGCCCTCGGAGCGTCCTCCAGCAGCAGCGTCCCACGGCCCTGCCCGCGGCCCCCGGGGGCGCGCGGCGAGTCCCCGCTCGGGGCGAGGCTGCTCCAGAGAGAGCAGCGGAAGGGGATTTATGAGGTGGTGTAAGCGCATGTGGTCCGGGCGAGTGACTCTGTGCCCACAAACGTTACCACAGTTCAGACAGCAGAGACTGGTTTATTACGTGGAGCTTTAGGCTTTACTGAAAGCAAAACACGGCACGTATCGAATACCTACTTATAACAAATAAATATAAGTGGGTGGCAACAGCATTACGGCCATGGAAACAAGTAGGAGACTTCTGCAGTTTCTGATACCAGCGCAGGCAATTTTTCAGTTCAAAGAATTGAAACTAGGTGGCAAAGGAACATTCACAGAACAACTTTAATGTTAAATAGTTCACAACGTTGGTTAAAGGAGTCATTTACATTGCATTATTTGAAGGGTCGTTCCCCATTGCATCTGTGCTGCATTTGCACATATAAAATATTAAAAAATTTAATATCATACTATAAAATATTGTCTCTCTTGTTTTGCAGACACCGTGGAAGACTGTACAGTGAGGACTGGCCTCGGCGGCGCGGGCAGGGCTCCCTCCCCAGGCAGCACCGACACCGGCCCCGGGAGGGCGAAACCTTTAACAACCAAGAACTTAAACGCAACAGGTGAGTGACAAACAGGCCTCTCTGCCTTAGTGTTTATTCCTAAACTACATGTTAAGGCTCAGAAAGTTTTCTCTGTACAAAAGCAAGGACACGGGAGGAGGTCACGTTGCGGCAGGCGGGGCCGGGCGGCAGGAGGGAGCCCGCCCCGCAGCCCCGGCGGCAGTTAAATGCCTCTCGGAACCGGGGGGCATTTTCCTGATACAAAATCCACAGCAGCAGGGCAGAGCGCTCCAGCTTCAACCCCTTGGAGAGATTTATGAAAGACACCTCTGGTGAACTGAACCAAAAATGCAGCTCTGGCTCCCAGTAATCCCATTCACGTGTTCCCTGACGTATTAAGGACGGACAAGGCCAAAATAGTTACAAGTCCCAGTACAAAGTAGGTCTCAATTTTTATCTTTAAAGAATATTAATAAAAGGTGAAGGCATTTCTCAGTCTTCAGGTGCAAGCTGTCTCAGAGAGGAAGCGCAGACCCTGGCGCGGGGGTCCACGGGCGGGTGTGGGCAGGTCCCTTCCACCCCGGGGACCTTCGTTCTCAGAACACCGCGCTGGTACAGCAAGGAACTTCCAGTAAAACGTACGCAAAGCTGACAAGCACAGTTAAATAAAAATATTTTTGAACAAAACAAACCACAACAGACTTGACTGTCTCAACGTTTCCTCACAAACCGGCTCCCCTGCAATGGCTGCTGTTCCCTGGCTCACGGTTGCCTCCTGCACTTCAGCAACAGAAGTGAAACCATCTGGGACTGCAGCCTCCCCCCAAAAGAACTGTGCATCATATGGACCTCGAAAAAGATTACATCTGTTTATTAATAATAAAAATGGATACATTTGTCCTACATTTTGTTTTTTAGAAATTTGATCATGTCACAAGCAATACCTGTGTGTACGTGGGCGTATTACAGATGTATATAATTTATTTTAACCAGGCTGTGAAATAATACTTAATCACATCTCTTCTTGTGATTGTACATAATACAGTAATTAAATGATGCCAGTCTACGTCATTCTCTTATTTCTAATCAAAGGAACCTGAAGCGTAACAGTCTTCTTTCCAGCTGATATGGCTCTTTATTTTTATCACAGGGGAGATTTCCCATCACCAACGAGGGATAATCTTCCAACCACGAGAGACGGGATAATTCAGATTTCTTCCCCGGCTGCTCCTGCCTGTGGCAGCAGGAGCCCCCCCAGTCCTGGCTCCCACCTGACTCGGGCGGTGGGAGCGTCTCCTCCCCCGAACTCGGCAGACAGGCTCTCCTCGCCGCTCCGCGTCACTGCTGTCCCGATTTCTTCTCCTTCTGGAAGCTAAAGCTTGTTCTCCTGTTCAGTTTTCTTTGTTTCTGAGCAAAATAATCTGCTCTGGCTGTGCTTGCTCGCGACTCTAGAATATAGTTAACCTGCAAGACATCAGACGGGGTTCAGTGTCGCCGGGGGCTGGGCGGGACAGCCGGGGGGCAGGGACACCCCCGACCCCGCGGAACGAGGCCTCGGCGCCCCCGTCCCGTCGCTGAGGGGCAGCCCCGGGGGCTCCGTGCGGGGCCGCGCTCCCTCCCGCCACCCTCGGCTCGGCCACAGGCTCCGGCCCCCCGGCCCCCGCCCTGGTCACCCAAAGCTCTGGGTGGGCGCAGCGAGCCGCGAAGCCCCACAGTGCTGCTCCCACACAGTAACGGGCTCCGCAAAACGACTTTATCAGCTTCAATCAAAATAATTCTTTCATTGCGATGTTTGCATACTCAGCTCATCTCAGAGTTTCCCTGTGTTTTGGCACATTTTACTTGATGAAAGCATTTTTAAATGATATTTAACAAGCCTGCTATTCCCTAAATTTATTATCTCCAGTGCTTTGTGATAATCACATAGATAATTTTAATGGAAGGTTAATGCAAGAATCAAAAAGATAAAAATGCCCTTTGGTCTGCCATTAGCTGGTTAATATGCTGTGGCTTAAAACTTGCACAATTTTATGCACTGTAGAGTGTTTCACTTTCATTGCATATTACAGCTTAAGGCATAAAAATATAGGGAATTTTCATGGTCAATAAAGCCTTGGTCTTTCTCACTTGATCATGTAAAAAGCCTAATTTGAAAAGTCTGATTTCTCTGCGTCTCCTAATGCTGATGGAATTGAAAACAAACTGGTAACTTATGCATGAAACCAGAAAATGTTCTGTATAAACAACCTGCAACTCAAGAAAAAAAGTCCTGTTCAGTAATACGTCTCTCTTGAATATTCATGTTATTCATAGCAAACTTTTTTTTCTTTTAGCCTTCTTCTGCGACCAGTCACGGATGTATCAAGAGTTCTGGATTACAACAGTTTATTTAAGATAAAGCAGGAACAAAAGAATTGGCCTAACAGTTCACAGAGTAGAAAACCCCTAAAAGACATTCACCTTCTATGTTACTAATAAAAATTGATTGTGTGTCAGATACTTAGCAATCCTCTAAACTCCACACAGAAAATAAAGGCGAAGATAACAGATGGCTTGCCAAAATCACTGCTTTTTAAATTCTGAATTGCTAGAAAATATTAGCGTGCGGAAAATGAAGTTTAATCTTCCAAGAGCGTTACAAAAATTTCCGTCAGAAAGGAAGCCAGTATGTGCGTGTACTGAGCCCCGAGAAAAGCAAACAATTCTGGAAAAGCGTCACGGTGAGGAAAATAACCTTTGTGCTTTGTACAAACACCTGCGCTTGGGGAAGAGGAGCGGGAGGCAGGAGGGAAGCGCTGCCCTGGTGCGGCCGCTGGCCCTGCTGGGGCCCTGAGCCCGGCCTCCCCCCGCGGCCTCGAGGAGCCCCCGGACAACGCGAGCTCCGGCTCCCAGAGCCCCCGC